CACTGGCGCCCCTCAGGGTTGTGTTCTCTCTCCACTGCTCTTCTCCCTGTACACCAACGACTGCACCGCTAAAGACCCCTCTGTCAAGCTCCTGAAGTTTGCAGATGACACCACACTCATCGGCCTCATACAGGATGGTGACGAGTCGGCACACAGTCAGGAGGTTAAAGAGCTGGCTGTCTGGTAACAATAACTGTGGAACACACACTATTTATTCACTCATACACTTATTTATCTAACACACATACTCAGTCTACATTTCAATTTGCACATAATATACCTGTACATACAACTGTCTATTGTTATATACCTGTACATACAATTGTCGATTTGTATATTTTTATTCCTTATTAATTCCTCGTATGTGTAAACATACCTGGCAATAAAGCTCATTCTGATTCTGAAGTGAAACTCATGCCACTGTCTGGGCATTATATTGTTGATGTTAGTTGCCAAATTGCTCAAAACTCCAAAATAATAACAAAATTATTTATTTTGTGTGCATTCTGAAAGAGAATTAATAATGATGATGGATCAAAGAGCAGTCTAAAAACACTATCAGAAAGATAGTTTCTCTAAAGATATAAAGCAACAATTATGAAGATTTTCAGAGGCTCTGTCCTATCAACCAGCTCAATAGAAATCTTAAATCTTCAGATGGAACGATCTGCCATTGGGAGGGACAGGAAGGTGCTTACACAGCTTCTTTATAGTGACTCCCTCTCAGTGTCTCCTCTCTAATCTCTTTCACGCGCTGTTATTTCAAGCCATTTCACAGGCATAGTTTTCAAAGGCAATTTGCATAAAGGCTGGAGACAAGAGAGAAACCATATGAAAGGGTTTTTTAGTTATAGAAAAAGTTATAGAAAGGTAATACAAGACTTGACAACTGACTTTAAGAAACACAGCCATTGTGAGAGTAAGTGTTCCGGTGTGTTTATGTGTGAGACGACGGAGCAACGCTTTTCTTAAACAGGTCCTGACTGGAAAACAGGTGCTGAATGGCCTGTGGTGATGAGTGTACGGGCATCTTCAAAAAAGATCTGATCAAAGAGAGCCAACCCTGCCTGAAGTCAGTCAGCCAACAGATTTATGTTAGCATGTCAGCACACTTACCACACAACTAAGACCAGCAGCACAACATAGTAGGCAACCTGACCTTATCATAATGTGTTTCTGAGGAAGAAAGATTAAGTTCATGCAAAATTACAAGATAAAAACCTGATTATCATAAACAGTTCATGAAAAAGGTGTATTTATACTCTTTTTTTTTTACTTTTCATTGTCTTTTTTATGCACACAAAGAAATATTAAAGCATGTCAACATATTCTGTTACACCAAATACACAAAAAAGCATCATATGACCCATTTAACATTGTGAGATGTTAACTTGCAATTCTCAGTATAAAAGTCAGAATTATAAGATGTAAATTCAGAATTGTGTTTGTAATATAAAATTGTGATATAAAAAGTCACAATTACCTTTTTTCTTTTTAAATTTGTAATTCTGTGAAGGGAATGGGCTACCATAATATATTACACAACAATACTAAACCAACAAAACATGATTTCATTAAAATATTTCATTCATTATTATTATAAAACAGGCCTTCTACTGACAAACTCATACATATTTAAATACACATTGTCATATCAACAACTAGTGAGCAACAGTGATTCAAGTCTCATATATCTGTAAGCAGTAACCTGAATTTGATTCACCAAAAAAAAAAAAAAAAAGATTAATTAGTTGAAGAATCAGACTCGAATCATGCTTTGGAATACTGAAAAAAAACAAAGCTATTGTCTCTGACCACTTTGCAGGTTTTGTATTCACTTTAAAACACAGGCTTTTAACTACATTACTACCTTAACTACATAGGCTGCGTCCAGAGTTTTTGATTCACTAAAAAGAACTGGTTCATAAGAGTCACCACTACACTTGTCTGGTCTGTACGCATCTGCTTTTGTGCTGTAGAGGTGTTGAGAAAGTGCAGAGTATTTTGCTACCTGGCATTCTGCCTGCATCAGCAGAAGAAAACATGCGAGTATGAAACCATATATATATATTTTTTTTTATGAAACTTGATTGGACACTTTTCACAGATTGTGTTGACGTGTTTCCACAGTTATTAACATTGTAAATCTATATAGCAAAGTGTTTTATTTTTTCATTTGTCATTTTTAATGTACATTTATAACACTATACTTTGTGTTATATTACACTTGCATTAAATTACAGTAAACTAACACTGCTGTGTGAGTGTTTCTAATACAATGTCTGAGGGAATGACAGCAAATTTGAAATCCTTCTCTCTTCTCACCAATGTAATCAATCAATATTTTTTCCCTCTTTTGGAAAGTCATAGAAATGCTATCATGGATTTTTTTCTTCTGCTATTGCAAATGGGAACACAAAAGTATATTTGTTGTAGTTTTCGTTCACCACAACAAAAGTTTACTTCTGGGAACCCCAGAGATGTGAAAGGAAATGGCTTGTGGTTCCCAAGCCAGTTCACTAATGAAATGATTATAGTTGTGTGTAATGTGCAAAAGCAAAATGAGTAATTCACTCACATCAAAAACACACTCCATCTTCACATGGTGAACCCACCTTTAAGTCGCAACTACAGAAATAGCAGGTAAGGCAGAAAAAAAGGGGAAAGAAAAAAGTGAGATAGTCTTTAGAAGAAGGTGGAGTGGTAACTAACTGTCATTGATATTTACAGTTCAACTCACACACCCCAGGGCCCAGAATCCAGGTGGCCCTTAAACAGCCTGGTGTGTACACAAGTATGTGTGTGAGTGTTTCCTAGAGAAAGATGGGGTGGTGTGACAGATTATAACAGAAGTGTGTGTGTCAAACGAGGCCTCTCTGATTCATGTATCTGAATTTTGAAACACTACAAGGACTTTGTAGAGACTTGAATACCCCCTGGGCAAAGTACAGAACACACACTTCACTGTTTTAGATCTTTTTCACACACACACACACACACACACACACACACACACACACACACTTTCACACACTCGCCGCACTTGACACCTAAAGTGAGCTTTTAAAGGACAGAGAAATTGTCCAAACATACCATAATCTTTTAATGACTGAAAGTGTAATAAATGACGACCTTATAAATCTTTGCCATTTGCCACTTGCTGTTTGCTGTATTTGGGCTTAGTGAGCTGTAATATTTTGAACTAAAACTACACAGAAATATTTTGTTTGATTCACCGTCAAAGTTAATACTTGGATATATTACATATATTTCATTTTGTCTTTGAAGAAGGTAGAATGAATGAGTTGGTTTACAGTAATTATTTGAAATAGATTAGTAAAAACACCTCAAGCACAAGTTTCTATTTTTGCGTTTCCTGTATGAACATTTCAGATCAAAGTCAACATGAAGTTGAACTTAAAATACCAAATGAATACTCAGAGTACATTTATTTACAAAACAAGCACATTAAGTAAGAAAACAGATCAAATAATTTTAAACCAAATCAAAAACATACATCAGGAAAAACAGAAGCTTATAAGACATGATAGGGCATGTAATGGGAGAAATGTACTTTCCTTTTTTGTTGCATGTTATGGTTTTCATCTAACCGTGCAACGCCTGAAGGTCAGCCTCACCTGTCTACACAAATGTGCTCTATGGATTCAAGCTAATGACAGATATCATTAGATTACTAAAGGGCGTAACGTTAAAATATCCTTCTGTATTAGACAAACAACCTTAAGGCTCACTGTGTGTACTGTGAACCTGAGTTTCTCAGGTCAACCCAGAATTAAGGTATTAACACCATAAAATTATGAGTACACTTTGATGTGCTAAGGAGGCATAAAAAGATATTCAAACTAGACAGACAGACAGACAGACAGACAGACAGATAGATAGACAGATAGATGTACAAATAAAACCTGAGATTGCAAGTCTTCACTTGATGTCTCCACTGTTGATGTGGTCTCAAAAGTTTAGTATTAAGTTTAAAAAGATTTAAGCACAGAGAACATTCATGTGTGATTGTTGGTAACAGACTTTTTAGCGATCCACTCTGCAACAGTGAAAAAGGCACTCTTAAATCAAAGGCAACACTTCAAAAATGACCCAATTTGATGTTACAAATACAACCGAGATAAAAAAAAAATAGCAAAACCTGGAGACCAAAACAAAACAAACTTTAAAGCCTCTGCTTTAGCATTGTTTATCAATGAAACATAAAAGTGAATAGATTAATTTTAATAAGATAGGAATATGAAAGCCAGGGCATTTTAAAAAGTGAAAAAGGTCCTTCAAACGAAAGTCCCATGACGAAATCTTTGATGTCATTAAAGTTCATATATATATATATATATATATACATATATATATACATATATATATATATTAGTAATCTACTATTTCTCAATAGCCATTGTGGAAATCACAGGTCTGAATGTGAGTGTTCTAACTAACCCTGCTCTACTCACAAATATAAAAGCCAAAGCCCAAATCAGGCATGAAGCTGAGGCCTGAGGTTGGATATAAAATCAGTATTTCCTGTCTTATGATATTTGTAAAATAAATAGGAACATGGGAAGATTATCACTATTGACGAGTACATGCTGCTCATCCTCCAATGTTAACCCAAAGGATTAATCGTCTGCAAACTTAAAGGAATAATTCACCTTAAAATGTAAATTCTGTCACCCTTTACTCATTATCATTTTGTTCCAAACATGTATGACATTTCTTTATTCTAACACAAAGATATTTTGAAAAATGTCTTAGTGTTTTTTTTTTCTTCTTCTCCATACAACGAAAGTCTGCGTTCAACCCCACTGACTGTCATTGTATGGACTTCTTTTGTGTTCTGTAGAAAAAAAGGAAGTCATAGAGAAAAACTTTTCAAACTCCACACAAATAATAAAAGCGTTTGCTTTTTCATTTCAAACATTTAAAACTAAAATGTTTTATTTATTCTTATAAAATATGAACCTTTAGAAATATACACAAATGTATGTAGGACATTAAAAAGAGCTTGGTTTAACAAAACAAACCAGAGGGCATGAACTGACTGTACAAAACAACTCAAATAACAAGTTTCTCTCTTTGTGTTGGCAATATTTAGTGCTTAAAGATTTACTTTGTTCCATGAAAAGGCCTAAAAATAGGCAGTTCATTCTCTGCCGAGGCCTTATTGAGCAGCTGCACTCCAATGTCAGTGCAGTTGTGCAGTTGACACGGCCTTCATTTCCATAGAAAAGCCACACGACTACGCCACGGAGGAGCCGCTTTTCCCCGAGCCATTCACACCCATTATTTGTCGAGTCCTTTCATTGTCTTTAATCACAGCCCTACAGTATCAGAGTCCCTTTCTCTCTGTCACTAAGGGAAACAACTATTGCACATGACATGATACAGGCATCCAAATGACAGCAATATGGATTTGCTCACTTTTTATTTGTTTCACAAAACTGTTCCCAAACTATGCAAAGTTTCAGATGTAGTACAAGCATCAAGAACTAAAAAAACCTGTTGGGGACGTTGCATCTGAAGTTTGCATAAAATAAATACGAGCATTGTTGTCTCCTTTGCTGGCTTGTCTCTTTAGAAAGCAGTTCATTTAAGTCCAGCATTTACTTAATTTCTTGGCCATTTGTTTGTGTATAGAGGCCCAGCTCATACACAGGTCGCAGGAGGACCTGCCGGTTCGTACTTGGTTTTATGTCCTTTCAGTGCAGAATGAGGCTTGAGGTAAGGTCCACTTCCTGTGAAAACACATGCTGCCTTCCTCCTCGTCTTCTTTTTAAGTTTGCGGCTGAAAACATTCTGCCATGATTGCAGCGTTTTGGAGGTCCAGATCCACATGCCGCTGGTGATGCCCACCACCAGCAACATAAAAATCTTAACCATGAAGATCTCCACAGCTGGGATGGAGCTCTTCATCACACACTCCTCGCCACTCTTACTGTCCTCAGTGCACTTCTGCTCTCCTGCTAGAATCTTCCAATAATCCATGTTGAGACGCTCGTAAAAATAGCAGGCGATGACGCAAGTGGCAGGGACCGTGTAAAGCACAGAAAAGACGCCGATCCTAACCATCAGCTTCTCCAGCTTATCCGTATTCTCTCCTTCGGTCTTCATGACCTTACGGATGTGAAAGAGTGCCACAAACCCTGACAGCAGAAAGGAAGTGCCAATAATGAGGTAGCAAGAGAGGGGAATAAGAACAAAACCCGTCAAGGCTTTGACATCCATGCTGCCCACATAACAGACCCCTGTGAGCTCGTCACCCGCTACCTTCCTCATAACCAGGATCATGATGGTCTTAATTGCTGGTATGGCCCATGCCGTTAGATGAAAGTAGCTGCTGTTTGCTTCAATGGCCTCATGACCCCATTTTTTTCCAGCTGCGAGGAACCACGTGAGAGTAAGAATGACCCACCACAGGGAACTGGCCATTCCGAAGTAGTAAAGAATGAGGAAGACTATAGTGCAGCCAGTGCTTTCCAAGCCTTCCTGGATGATGTACTGAATGCCACTGTCATGGTCACAGGCCACGTTTTCCACCCCCACAAATAGTCTTATAAGAAAGCCCACCGAGTAAACGCAGTAAGACATGGACAAGAAGATGATCGGCCGCTCAGGGTACTTGAAACGCTGTGGATCGATGAGGAAGGTGAGGACGGTAAAGGCACTGGAGATGAAGCACAGGATGGACCAGATGGCAATCCACACCATGGAGAAGCGCTTGTCGCCCTGGCTCCAGTACACGTCAACGTTTGAGTAACACTTGGGGGCACATGACTCGCTCTTCTGAACGTAATGAAACTTTCCAGGGTTGCTGCATGTCGTCTTACCGACCCTCTCCTTTATCGGCAGTTCTTGGCTGTTACCTGGCCGAAGGGGTCGGGAGTCTGGCGGCTGAGTGTGGGAGCCTTTCGGGGGCTCGTCTGTGCCGTTGTTGGGTGCCTCCATACAGAGGTAATTGGGGTCATTTTTATTTGGCAGTCTGGAACAGTCCAGTGACACAGGCCAGTGGAAGTTAAACTGCTCCATGATGGGAGAACACTTCTGCCTTGCCTGCTCACACATTACTCGGCACGCTGGGATGGGTGTGGATACCTGCTCCGTGCACATGGGAGCATAGAGCGAGCACAAGAAAAACTTCAGATGACTGTGGCAGCCGAACTCAATCAGCGGAGCAAACTCATGCAGCTTTATGGCCGCCTCACTTTGATCTTCATGTCCCATTAAGTTCGGCATAACTGTCAAGTTGTAGCCAATGTCCTTACAGAGTGGAATGGCGATCTCCTGGCATCTTCCTTCACCTGGCCGGTCCGGGTCGATGGAACTGATAGCGGAAGAAAACCCGGCCATGCACAGCAGCACAAGGCTGAGTCCAAAAGCGGCAGCAAACATTGTCTTTCAATATGAATTCATGTAGCAATGATTGTCTTTCAAAAAAAGCTCTGTATTTTTACTTGAAAAGTTGCCTCATTGTCGCTCTTTATAATTTTAGCTGGTTGACTAAAAAAGTTATTGTATCCCAAAGAGAGGTGAGGATGAATTAGTAGAAAAGAAAACTTGTTTTCCTTTGTGAATCAATCAAACAGAGTCAGTAACTCAGATTCCAAACAATCAGTTCAGTTCAAAAGTAATATCTGTCAAAAAAAAGGAAAAAAGTTTTAGATAAGATAAGTATTAGAAAGCTTTAACCATACAGTGAGGTTTCACACAATTTATGGTCAATTCCCAGTCCACAGATGATAATTCCTTCTTCTAAAGCTCTTATGGTCCTCTCCTGTGAGATAATGTTGACGGTCTGTTTCCCTCACGAAAGTATACTTACTTTTCAACTTGCTCTCGCGTTACATTCCACATTCATCCTCCGCAAAGTGTATCCAAACTGACCAAACTGAAGTCACGGCGTCGTTTTATCGCAGTCATCTGAAAATGAATCCGCTCGGTAAGCGTGTGAATATTCACTTCAGCTCGTCTCCAGACACTCCGCTTCTCCGCCAAGAGTTGTTCTCTGCCTCGTTCGCTGTCTGTGTCTGAGCTCCTCCGCTACCGTCCTGAACTAACCTGCCAAAAGGTCCGCCTTCAAAGACAGCTGCTTTACATAAGAAAGCCCAAACTGACACACTGATTATCCTTAAACCGTGCGGAACTGGCTGTGTAGACCTCAAATCCTCGTCACCGTTTTACCACAAGATAAATTACTCACTGGCCATTTGTTGTTTTGGTTTTTTATTTTACCCTAGACGAAATCCCTCTGATGGTTTACGGTACAGTTTTCGGTGCAAGTCAGCGAGAAATCTCTCGCCGAGGACGACCAAAAGGATTCAGTGGCTTTCCAGTCAAGATGTGTCCCCTTTTTCCTCTACAACTGACGATTTTCACGCTCCGACCATTGTGGGAAGAGAGAGTGAAGAGAAAGGAGAGTTTTTATTCCTTGAAATTCCCCTTGCTTTTTTATAGTTGACTGAACTAAAATGTGTCTTTACTCTCACCCCATGCATCTGAATGACAAAGTGAAACCATGTGGCTTTTGAGATGTTATTAATAAAAAAGCGAATTGTCATAGTTTATGATCAAAAACATTTGTCAATATCACTTCCATCAAAGTGATGGCTGGCGTTTATGATATAGGCCTAGACCTGTTCATTTATGTCGTTCCCTACGGAGTTTATTTTAGAATGGTGGCTTTCAATTTATGAGTACAATAAGGTCTGTGGTAAATATCAGAAACTTAAACACATTGTTCATCAACATAAAATACACACATTATGTAAATCTTTAAACCAAAGTTTTTTTTTAAACATAAACTATAATTTGCTTTACAATGACAGCAGTGGTTCATCAAGCACAGATTTCACATCCTTGCTTGCACTTTGTGTATTTAAAAAAACAAAATTCACATTTTAGTTATGACTATGTAATTTATGTTGGAACGAAATTAAAGTCTCTTACAGGAATGTTAACCGCAGATGTAATTTTTCTCATAAATCAAAAGACTGACATGTTTCGTGTTTCTGCACTCGACTGCCTCTTAACATGATTTTAAAAAACTGCATTATTTCAGTTCCAACGTGTAATTTTGCTATGTTTCACTTGTCACAAATGAACAATTCACTCCAATGCTTAAATAACAAAGACTGTGTTGTGCCAGAAATCACATTAATTCCTAAGTTTTTGGAAACAACACTGGGGGGTGGGCGTGTATACACCCCCCCACACACACATACACACACACACACACACACACACACACACACACACACACACACACATACAGTAGGCCTATGCATGAAAATGCATATTTTTCAATTAAAGACAGCTTATAGATTTAATATGGGCTGCTTTTGGTGCTTGACACCTTTTTATTGGTCATTTTGTGTTTCAAGAATAAGGTCCAAGGTAAGAATTATGCTAGTTACTTAAATATGAAATGTTTTTCTCTATTTAACAACATTACAATAGTGAAAGATGACTTCCCTTACAGATCACGTCGCTTGTGCGGCGGGATGTTGAACTCATGAAAATAATCACGTAGTTTGTATTCACCAAAACTGATTTACTGAAGTGAAAACACGGACGGAATTGGTGTTAGCACGAGCGGCAGATGATTGCGCAGCCTTCCTCGAACATTTATGTTCACGATTTCTGATTTACTTAAAGTATACTGCGTGAGGGGGGCTGTGATTGGATGATGACAGGTATCGGTGATCATTCTCAAGTGATCAGCACTGCTGCTGTTGTATCAGTCAGTGGTTAGATCAGCGTAGCAGTCAAAAAACGGGACAAGGGAAGTCATGTACGGGACAAATCAATTAGGCCCAAAATACGGGACGTCCCGGCTAATACAGGACGATTGGCAACCCCAGTGTGTAATGACATAAAAGACATTCTTAACTTCTGCTATGGCAGTTTCCATTCTTCACCATTTGCTATCAATCGTAAATACTTGCATGAGTACAGGATAAAAATGCCTTAAGGATGAATTCTTAGACAAAGAGCTTTTCAGTCTTGTTTCAGTGGATTCATCTTTGAGTCATGCTGGCGCTAAGGGCTGGTAAGCCAGGGCCTCGTCTTAGCCTAGCTCTCAGGGCTGTATCCATGGCACAGTCCTCAAGGGCATGTATGCATGCCAGCTCTCATAGCACACTGCGTTAAAGTATTGGCATTGTCGAGGTGACATGTCAGAGTTCAACTGTCACTCTGTAAGTAGGGATGAGGGTTAATGCTCTGTTGACTGTTTTCAGTAATATAAAACACTCAACAGTGATACTGAAAAATACGTGTACTTCATGTTACAGCTACATCAGCTCAAAAAGATGGTGAAAAGTGTCTTTGCATGAGCTAGCTGTTGTTGGTAAATCTCATGTGGCAGCAATGAAGAAGGCACAGGGCCTCATGGAGCAAGAGATACCAGATAGCTTAGTGCTCTCTCATGTTACCCAGTAAAACCATGGTTTATCTTTGCAACACCTGACGACCATGGTTTTCTGGAGATCTTTGTCAGAACACTCTAAGAGCTTTTTTATGACAGCTTGTAAAGTGCTTTTCAAAGTATTTCAGAAATGAAACTAAGCCCGTCCTACTGTGAGTTGGGTGAGACAGTTTACTGAGATAGTCTCAGGCACTTTAATCACTATTGATGTCCCTCAGAGATGTTAACAAACTTAATATAATATACTCAAAGCCATACCGAGCACTACTTAGTATGCAAATTGGTCATCTTGGTCAGTAATTTGAATCAAATTGGTTCAAATGATTCATGAAATTTGGTATTGCAGTACTGTATTATAAATGACTCATCTTCTGCAAGTTGTTTTGGTAAAATCAGCACATTATACAACCTGATAACTCAAGAAAATACATTTATATATGATTTTGAAATAGTTTTTGTTTCATTTGGATGTCAAAATATAAACAGACAGTCTGTCAAACAGGATTTGTTTGAAAGGTTTATGACATTCACCTGGTATTGTTTAGCATAAACAACAGAGCATTGCTCTATCCACCTAATTCAATTTAAGTTGCTGCCTCAAATTTTAAAATTTGGTAAATTATTTTGAGAGTTATGGAAAAACATAATTTGCCATGACATATCATAACTAAGGTCATGGGTTTGATTCCCAGGGAACTGATAAAATGTATACCATGAACTGCGAATATATGCTGCTATGCAATAAACTGTCTGACAAATGTAAAATATACCCAATTTGAGTTGTTTACATGACCTTACACATTTTATTCTTACCTAACAGTTTGACCTTACACTATTATAGGCAAACTCAGCCAACAACCCTGCTGAAAATAGCCTGAGTAGGTTTTGTGGTCTAAGCTGGTCTCTAACCTTAGTCAAAGAGCCCAACACCTCCCTAAAACCAGCCAACAGACCAGTCTGACAATGCTGGAAGACCAATTAACACCAGTAAACCAGGTTAGGCCGGTTTAATAAAAGGATATTTAATTCAATAAATGCCTGTTTGACATGCCGTTTAACCCTGGTGTTGTTAATAATGATGATCACATGTACATACATATCATAATTTTCCCTTGCTTTGATATGTAAACACCTTTTCAACGCCTTTGCTAATAATGAAGCCTTTCAGGATGTGCAACATATCAGAGCACTGTATGAAGCACACAGACGGCCTCATTAGCTCACTGATTGATGCTTTTAAAACATACATGTAATACCAAGACAGAATTTAAATGGGATACCTGTGCCGTTGCACATTCAGCCTCAGCTGATTTGTTCCCATTTTTTTTACAAATTTTTGTTCAGTGATTGAGGATATCAAGATAAGTCCATGAGGATATCGCTTTGAAGAATGGCAGAAGAACAGAGCGGAGAATCATGACCATTCTATCTTTATCATCAGTAGCCTTGGCAGCTCCTACTTTCCCTTTCATGTTTTGTGTTTGTTTATTTCAGCGTCTAACATCCACCACCCTCACCGTTTCATACTTGGTCCATTCTACAGTTATCCTTTATACCCACACACCCACCCACTCACATACGCGCACACACACACACACACACACACACACACACACACGCATGAACTTTATCTCTTCCAAAGCACAGCAGCAGCAGCAGCTCGCTGGGTTCCATCTTGGTGGAAATCAGAAAGTGTGAGATAATTCTGTAACTAATAAAGAGAAGGGAGGCCCTTTGATGGCTCAGACTGAAAAGATATTTCATGTTTTTTGTGTGTGAGGGATTGGGGAGATGTGTGATTCTATGGAGCCTGTGAGCTCCCCTGCTGTTCCTCTCTGCCTAGAAGCTGACCCCCTCTGGCTAATGTTATAGAGAAAGGAAGGCATTTTAGGGCTGCCTCCCCCCTCTCTCAGCCCCCCCCCCCCCCCCCCCTTTTTTTTTTCTTCTTTTGTTCCCCTTTGAAGAATGACTTTAGACATTTTATTTACATATTTATCCATGGATGAAAGAAAGGAGGGTTGCGAGAAAGAAAGCTCCCCGGGCTCTAGTGGGAATTTTGATAAGTTTAAATGAATGGAAATCTTATTAGCTTTTCTTTTTCTTTTTTTCTAAGAGTCAAAGCAGTTTTTGGTGACGTTTTACATGCCGAGAATGTGGTACAACAGGAGAGGCCTACATCTGAGACAAGGTGGACACGATGGTCGTCCTCAACTACCTCATCCTCCTCAACAAACGCCTTTCTCCCTCACTGATCCTCCTACAGTCGTCAGCTGCAAAAGTCAAAGTGAATCTTCGCACACTTCAAACAGTGCTTTGGGGGGGGGGAGCAAGTATCAGCTTGAATTCGTACAGCTTATTTTTATATTGCAGTATGTGTGTGGTTTGAAGAGTGGGAGTTGCTGGTGGATTTCGGCTCTGAAGGCCATGTCGGTTACAGATACAGCAGGACCACAGTCTTAATCTGCTTACCATGTCCCTGTTCTCCTCTCAAACGATATTGTACTTTTTAGATTATTGTAATAATTTATGATCATAATAATCATTCATATAATAATAGATGCTAAATAGTGGTTGTAATAAAATCTAAAATAAAATTAAATAATTAAATAAAATTAAAAATACTTTTGTTCAGCAATGATGCATTCATTCAACGTGACAGTAAAGACATTACAAAAGATTCCTATAATTTCTATATTTCAAATAAACACTGTTCTTTTTTCATTTCGAT